CTTTCCCTGATTTGTATTTTCTGATCTACGTCTTCTCCGTAAAGACAATTTTAAAAGTGTCATTTCAGGATTTTATTGGATCGCTGTTATATGGCAATATCATAATAACTACCAGCACTTGTGTAATCAGTTTACCCAGAGTCAGTCCTGCTTCCAGGGAGACTTTATATGTAAAAAATATTTCTCTGTCTCTCTTGAAGGTGAGAGTTCAGTCTCTAACGCTCAGTCTTATAAATAGGAGTTCAGTCTTATAAATTTTATAATTTTTTGATCAAGGGATATATTAACATTACTTCCTTCAGTATTTTTTTCTTCTTTTCTGGCTGTGTCTCTTTCTGGCATCTGTCAGCTAACTCGTCTTCTTTTGTGAACACAAGAATAATACATATAAAAGGACAGTGTCAAGGTAGTTTATAATTTTCCATCTATGCTTTATTGTGTGTTGTTTATGACTGTTCTTTCCTAGCTTGAAATAAAATCTTTCCCCATGACAATTACCTGTTCTCTTTGTAGTTCATGCAAAATAATTGGTTGTTGAAGTTCAACTCATGAGCCTGATGTAATCTTTTATTTAATAAAAGATAAATTAATTTTATTGAATGAGAAACATAATGAATGGCAGGCATTTGCAAAGTAATATAAAGGAGAAGTAAGATCAAATTTTGTGCCTGATGACCTTGACAGAATTCCTTTAACAGTATCTTTTTTTTGTATTTGTCTAGTTTTCTTAGTGTTATCTGTACTTGAGACCTTTCCATCGCGTCCTTGGCTCCATCTTCTTATTCTGTGTTTCTGTAAAAGCTGACTGTAAGGACAGCAAAATTCTGACTTTGATATTGAAATAAGTGTAGCAAAAATACGAATACCAGTAACTTATCTTTCTGATTTCCCCTCCCTTTCCCAGATCACAGATTGTTTTATGTTTCAGATGAGATCCATGACACCTGCTTTCAATTCTTTCCAAGGAATTTTTGCCAGAGACAGATGCTATCTTCAACTAAAATTAAAAAAATATTTTTTCTACAGCTGCCACCTAAGTGAACAAGCTAAATGTTTGCTGTTAATACAGGCAGCCTCAAAAAATAAAGTAAACAATTGCTAAAAGTTCATCCTTGTGTGAGTTTGTATGGAACATACAGGTTTTTTAAGTGTTGCACTAAACCTTTATAAAGTTGTTCGTAGTCATGACAGAGTTGAGGACATTTCCATTAAAGGAGTCAGGAAGGAAATTAAGATGCTACAGAACTATAAACATAAGCTTTTGAGGCCTCATGACTTCTTTTAAAAAAGAAAATAAGGTGGGAAAACTGCACAATAACTGCTAAATTGAATATCGTATCAGTCAGGAAACAAAATTCTCTAGGTATAATTCAGTCCTGGTGATAATTTAATGCTTTCAGTAAGTGTCAAAATCTCATTTTCTTTGTTGCCTCATAAAGATGACTAGCATGTAAAAAATTCAACAATTATAATGAATTTTTCACAATTACCTATAATATACATAGATGCCCCAAAATAATTACAGAACTAATTCAAAACACTGAGCTAAAGATAGATATAGATATAGATATAGATATAGATATAGATATAGATATGGTGAAACTGATAGATTATCCCTCTGAAAAGAGCAAAGAAATAGCAATTTTAATGGTCACTGTCAGAATAACGTCACAGTATACAACTTTTTCCAAGTATTTGTCCCTGTCTTACTGATATGTATATGTATATTTCTCTGTTACTGTTCTTTTTATATATTTATTTTGGAAGAAGGCAATGCAATATCCTTGTGTTTCATAACCTCTGTTGCAGCTGGGGAGGATAATGCGTGGACCATTTATGAAGTTTGTAGCCCATGCAGCCTCTTTCACCATTTTTCTTGGTCTGCTTGTCATGAATGCAGCTGACAGATTTGATGGCACCAAACTCCGACCTAATGAAACAACAGGAAATGTAAAGCAGCTATTTAGGATGAAAACATCCTGTTTCTCGTGGATGGAGATGCTCATTATTTCTTGGGTAATAGGTAAAGATTAATTTTTGCTTGAATTTGTCTTCTTGTGATTTTGGTGAAGCTGGACCAAAATTAAAACTTTGTTATTAGTGTTTTGTGTAAAAATTACAACAAAGGGAGTTTATTCAGCTGGCTGGATTGCCCCATTGACCTCATGTTTCTTATTGGAAGTCAGCAGGATTCACATGTGCCTAGTTAATCACAAAATTAAGGACCTAGGTGAAATCTACATCATCTGACTATGAATTAGTTCAGTTTTATGAATATCAAAGAAAAGCATCTACCAGTTTTCCAGGCTATTTCAGCTCCCAAAGGGAAAGATTTCTTCATCACTGGCCAAGTTTTTTTTGTGTCCAATTGTCTTTCTGCAAAGTTGCCCTTATTTTGCAAGTATGTCTGCAGAATTGGTAGTGTATAGATGAACGTGTTATTGCCAAAGAGGAGAATGTCGACCGCTGGACGTTCAGTGGTAGAGTTTTCTGTCCCAACATGGGAATGAAATGAATACCATGCATAGTGCTTTGAGTTGAGCAGTACTACTCAGCATCAGAACGTTTAGCTTTCTAATTCTTATTTACAAGTCTAATACCATTGATTGCAATGGGGTTTAAATGCCCAGATATTTTAAGGATATGGGCTCTGCTTGTTTGTTAAGTCAGTAATACAGGAGAGTTAATTCAAGCGAAGGAAAATCTGTTCCCATCTGAGAGCTTAGGCATTTAAACTATTTTGCTTTTCTGAGCTCTCTGATTGAAATTGAGGTCATTTGTGCATCATGGGATACCTAAAGCTTTTAAAGACAATCACAATCTTTATTTATTTACTCATAAAGTTGCTTATAAATAAATATAATTGTGTGCTATAGAAATAATATGGCAGTTAAAGTTCAAAATGTTCTATAAATATCAATGGTTTCATAAGATAATAGAGGAGTAAATAATACTGTACCAATTTGAAGTTCTACTTTGCTAATTTAATCTGGTTTTATCTATTTCAGTGTCATGTGTAAGAGTTTGTGAAAAATCGATGGAGTGCATACAGATGTAGCATTTAAATTAATTGCTAATTAATGTTAAAATTATCCTTACCTGAAAGTGATGAAAAGTTCCTTCAGATAATTTGATAAGTGTAAAAAATGACATTATTATTTAGAGAAATATAGTTTGTTATTAAAATTTGTCTTGAAAAGCAAAAGAATTTGCTCAATCAAAAGGATGCCATAAACTAACACTGTACCCCTGTATTTTATCAAGGAAAAATAATGAGGAATGAGATACCTTTGCCCTATTGAAGAAGCATGAAGTCTGATTCTTCCTTTCATGCTCACTTGTCACATATATTTGCAATTTCCATAAAAGAGACTGTACCCAGGCTACTATGCAAATAAGAAAACAGGAGTTCTGCTATTGGTTCTACCACTAGCTATATGATCATATCAGAACTGCTCTGCTCTTTCTATCTCTTCCTGTGTCTGTAGCAGATGGTAATACTCAGATGCCATTCTTCTCTTTGAAAGCTTTTGTAGTTGCCCAGGAAAAAGCCTAATGAAGGATTGTTTTTATTACTCACATGAGAAGGAAACACGTTGACAGGTTCATGAATTTTAGTTTGTGTTCGAAGTCCCACTGGCCAAAATTGCTTTGAGTTTGACTGCAACTAAGAGTATATCCTGTACATAATGAAGGATCACATGAAACAAATGTGAAGATAAAAGAACACACTTTTCTCTGTTCTGTCTTATACAGGAATGATATGGTCAGAATGTAAAGAAATTTGGTCTCAAGGTCCAAAGGAATACCTTTTTGAGTTGTGGAACATGCTTGATTTTGGTATGTTAGCAATTTTTGCAGCATCGTTCATTGCAAGGTTTATGGCATTTTGGCATGCATCCAGAGCCCAGAACTTTGTTGATGCAAATATGAAAGATCTGACAAGTCCAACGCTGGAACCCAACATAAAATACTATACCTTGGGTGAGTTGATCACACATGTTTAAGATTTATTTTTACTTTAGTTTCACAACGTACTGATTAAGAAATTCCCACCCCTCCTTCTCTTTCTCATCCCTACTATTTGATCACATTTCCTTTGGCTGTGCTTATACATCTCTCTGGAGACTGTTCTAGACATCAGGCACTGAAGTGTTTTAAGATAAAGAATAACCCTGCTGTTACCCTACCTCTTTTCAAGATTATGTAAATCCAGGTTATTTCATCTGTTCAGTTACACAATGCTGTCCTGCAAACTCTTGTGTTGGTGTGACTGCAAACATGCTGTATCATAATGCAGGGGCAGAACTAAGCAATGAAGTTCTTAAACCTGCTTTGCCAACGTAACTAATGTATCTTTTATGTGTTCTTTGCTCAGAGACTCTGCTATATTATTTTAATATCTGTAATTCCACTCTCTTTACCAGTAGGAGATAAAAATGTTAATAAACTTGCTTGGCTGTTTTGCCCAAATGAGAAAAAATTAAGTTCTGTTTACTTGTGTTCACTCACAACACTACCACATCTCTCCTCCCTTTACTGGACGTTTTTCTCTAGAAACTGAATTATATCAGTTTCTATCTCTATTCTGTGCCTCAAATACTGTTTCTGATAAGGTTACATTTCTTCATTATCCAGGCTGTGGAAAAAGCAGAGCAGTAAATATCTATATTCTGAAAGCCATTAAACTGTACTCTTATAAATTTTACTGGAGAGTTCCAAATCTCACATGAGTTATAAAAGCAGCTAGTTAAATATTAATTCAGTTTTCAGTAACACCCACTTGAAGAATTTGCACAGAGGAACTGTTGTTTATGTTCACAGTTCCTGGGTATGACAAGCACAAATCGTGTAACTCGCTTATGCTATATAATACTGTGTCATCTAGCAAGGCAGTTTCTCTTGACATCAGTCATGAGTTGAGACTTTGTTATGCACTTAAGCAGAGTTCAGCCATCTTTTTAGTGTATGCATGTACAGTGAAGTCTGCTTGAAGACAATCTAGGTGCAACAGTGCTAACATGGATAATATTAATAGTGATATTTAATGCCACAGGTTTTGTCACAGGCTAGCAAACATAACTTAGTGGACACCAGGTTGAACATGAGCCAGCAACGGGCCCTTGTGGCAAAGGCAGCCAGTGGTATCTGCATTAGGCAAAGCGTTGTCAGCAGGTAGAGAGAGGTGATCCCTGTCTTGTACTCAGCCTTGGTGAAGCCACTCCCAGAATATTGTGTCCAGTTCTGAGCTACCCAGTACAAGAGAGATGGACGTACTGGAGAGAAGGGCATATGAAGGGCTGCAAGGGTGATGAAGGGACTAGAGCATCTCTTCTGTAAGGAAAGGTTAAGAGACCTGGAACTGTTGAGCCTGGAGAAGAGAAGGTGTTAGGAGGGATTTCATTGATGTAGACAAATACTGAAGAAAGGGTAGAGGGTGCCCAATGAGAGGACCAGGGGCAATTGACACAAACTGTGACCAAACACCTGCATAGGTTGTCCAGGGAGGCAGTGGAGTCTCTATCCTTGGAGATACTTAGATGTCATATGGACATGATCGTGGGCAGCCAGCTCTAGATGGACCAGCTTGATCAGGGGTGTTGGACCAGATGACTTCCAGAGGTCCCTTCCAACCTCAACTCTTCTATGATAGTACAGCTTGTCTGGAAACCTGAAAGACATCTGGCTACTAGCACATACTGAAACGTCTGCCATCTTTGATTTTAGTTATCCATGAAATCTGAGGTAAAGCTAACAAAAGTATGTCTGCTTATGTGAAAATGTACAGCCTTTTGCCTTTGAAGATATTTTTTTATTTGAATATAGCATGTAGTACACTTCACAGTGAAGAGCTCAATAAACAAAAGAGTATGCGCATCCCTGCAGGAGACGCAGAGCAGGTGACAAGGCAATGAGTGTGAGCCTTGTTATGCCTAAACCCAGAGTCATTCATTACTTTCTCATGATACCTGAATGCTGGCATGGCAGAAAGTTCCTTGAAGAATATAATTTTCTGATGTATGTAAGGACATTCTGCATAATGCTCAGCATCATTGGGTGTGGATGATTTGTTATGGAGCTGTACAAATAACTGTGTTAAATGGTTCTGTGTTAGTTAACAGCTCAAATTAGTATTTTTTTCCAAATACTAGTGATTGCTTTCATTGCAGTATAAATTATTTGTTTCATTTGCTGGCTTTACAGTAGAGTAAACACAGATAACAACACTCTCCTGGGATTTAGGTAACCCACCCCAAGTTAACCTCTTTTCTTTGCCTGAAGCACAATAGCAAATTGAATTTAAGCCTCCCATGTCATCAGAGAATGCTTCAGTCTCCAGCAAGGGAGCATTCTGGAGAATATTGTTTTGGTTTTATCCTGAAGTTTTTCTGTAAATATTTTTTTAAGTATAGGTTTGAACCTTAAATATTCTCCTCTCTGTTTGGATGTGTTCCCTATCACTGTCACATTTACTCTTTGATCAAAAGGACGTTCAAGTCATTCACACAAGTGGAGTAGCTTAAACAGAAGAGACTAATAGAAATTATGATAGAAAAAGGGATGAATATGGGCATTTGGTATATGCCAGGAAAGGGCCATTCCCATTTCACTATGAGCAAAAGAAATAGAGTAAATAGGAAAAGTGGAGAAACATTGTTCCCACAGTTTTGGACTTGTGAATGGTATTTAATGATTCCAGATCCTCACATTGAAACAGTTCATTTTGGGTAGCTCAAACAAATCACATTACTAATTTAATTTATTCAGTTTTCATCATCTGACACCATAAGCTGAATTTCACTTAACTTCTCTAATAGTCTGGGATTCAACTCACAAAAAGTGACCTCAGTGATCTCATAGCCCACTTTTATGATTGGTGGGGATCTAATCCATGCAGTCAGTGGAGCTGTGAAGTGGTTTTATCACTGCCTGTCTCAGTTCTAATTGGTTCAACATAAGTGAGTAGGGCTGTTTGAGTTGCCCAGGGTTTCTTCCCTCACCTCCAGCTGCTGTTCCCAAAAGACCTCCCATAGTTCTGTACAGATATCTTGAAATACTGACAGAAATTCTTGTCTTTTGTTTCCAGCCAGAATAAACTGGGATCCGTCCGATCCTCAGATCATATCTGAAGGCCTGTATGCAATTGCAGTAGTATTAAGTTTCTCCAGAATAGCCTACATCTTACCAGCTAACGAAAGCTTCGGACCACTGCAGATATCACTTGGGAGAACTGTGAAAGACATCTTCAAGTTCATGGTGATATTTATCATGGTGTTTGTAGCTTTCATGATAGGCATGTTTAATCTCTATTCCTACTATCTGGGGGCAAAACAAAATGAAGCATTCACAACGTAAGTACGACTGATTAAACTGTAATGACTGTGGGCTATTTTTTATGGAAAATTGGTAGCTTGTATTGTATGTATTAAGTTTACTTATTTGGTTTAAAAGGTTTGCATCTCTTTTAAGAATTTCTTCATCTTAGGTTAAGTAGTGCTTAAAAGATATATTTGAAATCAGAGGATGAGCTTTTGATACTATGATAAATCAGGAAAGACAGGCTGAGAAGGTGAGATGTAGTTGCCCTTTACATGAGAGAGCAGCCAGAAAGCCTGTACCTTTGCCTAAGGAATGATGAAGAGCCAGCAGGAGCTTCTAGTTCAGGATTATAGGGCAGACCAACATGGGTGATATTGTACTGGATGTCTGCTCTGGAATGCCTGATCAAGAAGATGAAGTACATGATGTGTTCTTCAGACAACTGAAATAAACCTCACACTTGCAGGCCCTAGTCCTCATGGGGATTTTTAACCATCCAGATACCTGCTGGAGGGACAGTACAGCACAGACACAAACAATCCAGGAGGTTTCTGGATGGCATTGACAATAACTTCCTGACTTTGGGATGTTCAGGGAAGGATCTCAAGGGGTAATGCCCTGACAAGAAGGACAGTCCAGGGAAGCTGATTGATTTTCAAGAACTGCCATTTCAGTGCTCAAGACTGGTCCATCTCAATGGAAGATCAAGCAAAGGTGTCAGGAGGCCTGTATGAATGAGCAAGAGTGACTGATAGGCCAGCTGGTTGTGATGCCACTCAGAAGGACCTCAGCAAGCTGGAAAAATAGGCCATCACAAACCTCTTGAAGCTCAACACAGGGGAATGACATGTCCTGTATATTCTTACTAGTGAAAAAAAAAAAAAAAAAAAATCTTATCCCTCTTTTAAGCTCTGTCTGTCCATATTTTCAAATGGCAATAACCAATTCCATCTTGAGAGGATCTTGAGGGAAGCATATTCCTTTTTTTTTATTTTATTTTTTACTATTTCTTTTACTGTTCTTTTTTTATTCTCCCACCATAAGAATAGAAAATCAGAATTTACTCTGTCAGGAGTTAGTTGGTCTACATTTGTCATGTCTCATTTCTAGATGTGATTTTAAGATTCTCACTTAAGTGGAAACTTATGGTTTTCCATGCTGTGCAACCATTGACCACTTAACTTCTGGGAGTCATGATATGCCAGCTATAGTTGTTATGAGATATACTCAGCCAGGAATCAAACTTGGCCAAGAGGGAAAAATTTGTTACTCCTCTTTTAGTGTTATTAGTTCACACAATAGATGAAGTACCTCAAACTACAACTCACAGTTGGAATACTGATAAAATACTATAAGCAGAGAATTAAATTCACAACTATAAATTACTAATTTCTTTTAACTTTTATTTTCTTAACAATAATGCAAGAAAATGCAAAATGTGCTTTGCAATGCTACTGCATTTTTGGACGTGGGGAACTGAGATCTCTTCAACAAAGAAAGAGAAAATATGTCTTTAGACAGGTGGAGAGAGGAAAAAATACCTCAGAGGTTTGTTCACGTTACCAGCAAACGTGTAATGTAGATTCACGCAGTTAACAATGTAATCATCATAATACTCTTTTGAGGGCATATATATAATTCCTAAACTGAATCAGATGATTTTATTGTCAGTCATAAGTATTAGGAATCATATTATAAAACAACCTGTACCTATGAAATTAGATAGTCTACTTGTTCTGCATAATACCACTATGGTAGAGTTCTACATTATGGCAAAATTTGTACTCTGTATAAAAATGGTAACTGGCAATCTCTACAATAAGATTCTACAGCTTTTCTTCAGTAACGTGTGCATGTGTTCAATTTCTCCTTTTAGTGTTGAAGAAAGTTTCAAGACATTGTTCTGGGCTATATTTGGACTCTCAGAAGTTAAATCAGTTGTCATCAATTATAAACACAAATTTATTGAAAATATTGGTTATGTCCTTTATGGAGTCTATAATGTTACCATGGTCATTGTCTTACTGAACATGCTCATCGCAATGATCAACAGTTCATTCCAGGAAATTGAGGTAAAAACTCCATTTATGATGAAATATCACATTTACTGTCATAGCTAATTACTGTTATGCTAACTGTCTAAATCTCCTGGAAAATTTTCTTGTAGACATCTTACATAAGAAAAATAACACATAGGCTTTTGGAATATATTAAGAGAAATATTAATTCCACTGTAAATTTTTATTATAAAATTCCTGAATATTACCCAGCTGCATGTTCTTGCAGTAGTAAGAACTAGACTGGACTAAGAAACTGCTATTGGACTGTGTTATGTTCCTGAAAAAGATGGGCTACATTAGGTGACTTTTGTGAGCCTTTCATTTGCCATGTTTGTAGTTATCATTTGAGTAGTGTCCCTCTTGCTGCAAGGATGTTCTCATCCCTCTGCTTTGACCACGCAAGCGTATCTATAATACACTGTTTTCTTTTTTTATTTAAACAACTGTTGCCCTAGTCCTATGCAGTGAACAAATCAGCATAAACTTTTGCATGCCGTGGAGAACAAAATAATTTTCATTGTCTAGAAAAAAAAGGAAGCAGATCTGGAGGAGCTAGGCCATCCCAGCCTTTCCCTTGCCACAGAGCAGCAGATTCAGTTTTGACACTGCTCTGGTCCCAGGTTCTAGGCTCTTCCTTGGGACCATAGTATTGCTCGTCCAGCTTTAGCAAAAGAAACAGACATTCTCTACAAAGGTTCAGATTCTTCTGGCTCAGGAGGCCACAGGACAAACTATGAGGTTCAGAGCAATAAAAAACAGACTGTTATACAAAAATATGTTAACTAGATACAAACAGCTTCTGAAAACAGCTACACAGGAATGAGACATCAGTCCTTTCTCCAGAAAACCACCTTGAACTTTACAGGGAGGAATAAAGTGAGTGGTTTGGCTATCATAGATGTTAAACTATGGTGATGTTAGCATACCTAGTTTAACCATATATTCTAGCAAGTGGAAGGACTTGGGTAAGAATCAACTAATCATACTTAATCTAATTTTTAAAGTTATAGAGTAAAATTTTAATTTAAGATTCTGATAGTATGTCTTCTTCAAAAGAAAGATAGTACGCTAATTGTGACAGAAGAGACCAATAAGATTAGAAATCAGAGCTGGTAGTCTCATTGAGAGATTTACATTTTTGTTATGTTAATATAGGATTTTTCCATTTTATCTACTGAGAACCACTGTGTTCCAAGCAAGCAGCTACTTGCTCAGGCCCTAGCAGATGAATTTAGGTGTTGTCATGAAGCTTTAACTTGGGCATTGTATTGTGTGCTTTTAAGTCAGAGCTTTTGTTCTTATCCCTGTGTTTACAAAGAGCACCGAAGAGGTCCATCTTTGTGGTCCTCTATTGCAGACTACCAACACTCACTCTGGAGTCAACAGTGCTTAAATCAAATCCACTTTGTTCTTCTGTAATTGCATGATTTAAAATGGATTAATAAAACCAGTTCCATTCATTGAAATTTGGGTTCACGGATTACAAACAAATTCTTGATCTACTTGAGAGTAATTTCAGCCAATTACATTTAAAACACACATGATGAAGTTTAGCTACAGCATCTTTGGTATTTCAGGTGATATTTACAGTGTATTAACAGTCGTGTTTTTGTTTTACAGGATGATGCTGATGTAGAATGGAAATTTGCAAGGGCTAAACTTTGGTTTTCTTACTTTGAAGAAGGGAGAACTCTTCCAGTACCCTTCAACTTAGTGCCAAGTCCAAAATCCTTGTTGTATCTCCTACTCAGAATCAAAAAATGTATTTCTAAACCATTTCTGTGCCAAAAGAAAAGCTTTCAGGGAGATGCAGAGATGAACAAGGTAATTTTATAATGTGTATACTAGCTGCTAATATTAAAAGATAAAACAAACTTTAAATTCATGGTTTTTGTTGGCCTGTTTTTCTCATTAATTTCCCAATATATTTTGCCCATACTGGTCAGTCACTAAATACAGGTTGAAATTCTTACTTCGTTTTTTAATATAAACATTTGTCTATGTGATTAATCAGGTAAGTCCAAAAATATAATTGTAAATTTACAGTTTTTCCTGTTTTTTGTCAGAATCAGAGAGTAATTCAGTCCAGGAGGGACTTCAGGAGGTCTCTGGTCCAACCTCCTGCTCACAGCAGGATCAACTCTGAGGCCAGACCAGGTTACTCATGATTTTATCCAGGCAGGTCTTTAAAACCTCCAAGGGTGGGGACAGACAGCACAACCTCTTGGGGAATCGTGTGCTACTGCCTGACTGTCCCTCATAGGGAAAAAGTTGCTTCTTTTACCTCTCATTTGGATTTGTCCATTGTCTCTCATCCTCCTGTCCTGCAGCACCATGAAGAGCCCAGCCCAATCTCCTCAAAGACCTCCTTGCACCTGGTGGGGGCTACTGTTAGGTGTGCCTGAAGCCATCTCTGCTTCAGTCTGAACAAGCCCAGATGTCCCAGTGTCTCTTCACAGGGCAAGTGCTTCAGCCCCAGACATCTTGGTGATCCTCTGCTGAACTTGCTGCAGTTTCTTAACATCTTTCTTACTGTCCCCCAAGTCCCTCAGGCCCTCTTCTGCAGAGTTGCTGCCCAAGCCAGTCAGTCCTCAGCCTGCGTTGTTGAGAGTTACTCTTTCCTGTTTGTGTTTGTTGAAATTCATTGGGTTCCTGTCAGCCCTATCATCCTAGGTGGCATCCTTTTCCTCGAGCCTATCAGCTGTCCCCGCTAAATTTGACTTGCCTGCAAACTTGGCAGGAGTATGCTCCAACACCTCCTCTGACATCTGGTCCTTGATAAAGATGTTTAAAAGGGCAAGTTCCAGGACTAGACTCCAGTACTACCTTCCAAGAACAACTATCCAGCCAGACAGCAACAGCCTAATGTGGGTACAAGAATACTCTAGGATACGGTGTTAAAACCCATGTTAAAGTCATGGCAGATGACATCTCCATCTCTCCACTCGTATGCAAGTCCAATCATTTTATCTCAGAAGGCCATCCAGATGGTCAGACAGGTTTTATTTTTTATAAAGCTACACTTACTTTTCCCAACCACCATCTGCTTGTTCATGTATCCAGAAAGGTGCATCAAGAGGACTCAATCCATTATTTTGCCAGTTACCAAGGGGAAGCTGAGTGGCCTGTGGTTGCCCAGATCATCGTTTTGATCATTTTTGAAGATGGATTTGACTTCACTAAGCACAGAGGCCTGAGAGACTGTTGGTGAAGCCTGGGGCAAAGAAGGCACCAGGTCCCTCCCCCAGCCTTACCTGAGTTCTCTGCCAGTAAGCCCCCTGCCCCCCTGAGCAACACATTTTCCTAAAGCACACATTTTTCTTGTTCAGCCTGTAACTGGTATTGTACCGGTAGAAGCTCTTCTTACTGCCCTTGCAAATGTCAGCTTAAGCTGAGCTTTGTCTTTCCTAACGCCACCCTCACAGGCCTGGACAGAGTTTCTAAATTCCCACTTTGGAGCCTGTCTCTGCTTGCACTGAGAGTGCAGCCAGCTTTTATTGTAAAGCATTCTGTTACCTGTTTTATTGACAGAAGGACAGTCAAAAGCACTTGAGTTGATTCATTGCTGTGTCTCAATGGGCTTATGTAAAGAGTTTATAGTCAGTCTGTTTTTCCTGCAGTGTCTTGGTATAAATCAAGTGGATTGCTCTAGGAGAACGTGGGCATAGCACATGGTGCTAGGTGGTATTGGAAGTGTAAAGATTAGCACTGCTGTAACAATTTAGGGAAGAAGAACTTCGCAAGAAAACTGATCAGATGTAGTGAACAGAAAGGTGAGCATGTGGCCTCAAATTGCACCAGGGAAGGTAGCAGTGGACTTGGTAGAGTTAGGTTAATCATTGGATTTGATAATCTTAAAGGTCTTTTCCAGCCTAAAAAATTCTATGATTCTATGGTAGCATTCATGGAAAAAAAAAAACCAAAATTACAGATTTGTCATGGTGGCAGAAACAAGTACGTCATTTATGGAAAGTTTAATGTGGAAGGATATTTGTTAAATTAGTTTCACAACTTCCAAAAGTGATAAAATCATCACTGAAAAATCATGACCTTAAGGAGACGCATATAAAATTCAAATTCAGTGATGGTAAGAAACAACAAATCAAAGGGGTATTTTTTTCCTAATTCACTTAATTTGTGACTCTGAAAGCACTTAAGTGAGAAGCTTATTTTTAATTACTTTTAAAAATTAAATTTATGTTCCCATAAAACAGATACTCTTAAAAAACCCATTCTTACACCCCAAGAAAAGAAACTGGATTTTTATCATTCCTTTCCAATATTATGTTCAAACCTGACAATTTGGATGTCTAGAAAGGTGCAAAGCACAGTAACTAACCGTTCTAGATACAACAGTAAGAGTCATGTCTGCTTTTATAGCAGTCCCTCTGAAAGAGAGCTGTAAGGATGCAATCATCGTTTATCAATTTTTTTTCTAACCTTGAATTAACTTTTAGTCTTCAAATATTAATGCTTCCCACTCACTGCAGATTGTAGTTTAACAAATGCTAAATGAAATGCTCTTACTCCCCAGCCAAAGAAGCTATAAAACTGCAAATCAAATTTAAAAAAAAAAAGTTGTTTATGTTGAAAAACATAGAGCAGCTGAGCCACATCTATTCATTCCTCTGCTTTTCCAGCAGTGTGACTGATATTGCCAAATGATTAAATTTTGAATTACCTTCTGGACCACCACGTACTGTTGTGCTGACTTTATCAGATGCTGCCATCCTTTGCACTTCTAAAAAGTAACTGAAATATTTTCGTGTCACATTTTGACACACTGCTGATGATTTATTACTGTTGAGACTGCTTTATGGCATCTTCTCAGAGGCATTCTCAGGCTTTTTGCATTTTGACTTTGGACTCATCCTGGGCTGAACAGGTTGGTGCTGTTGTGTCTGCTGAGCAAGGAGCTACTTGTGCAAGGAGCTGCTATAAGTGCAGTGAGCTGTGCAAAGATACAAAAACATTTGGAAAAAACAGACCCAAGTCTTGGTGACTGTGCCTGTGCTAGGAAATGAAATGTGACAGGTCTGATCTGGGCACTAGAGTCAACTCATGAATGTCTTGCCCATACTTAAGTAGTTTTTCTCCCAAAGGAGGATTGCTGCAAGCTATTGTCTCTGGACCATTCCAGTTGCTGAACTATGCCCAGGGAGAGAGACAGTTGCTGTGGTCTTAAGTCCTACTTGGGAGGACACTAAAAGTTTACTGGTAGGAGACATTACATTGCAGTCCCCAGGACTGTTAACACACGCTTGAGTTCACTGCTCCAGACCCAGCCCGTGGGTCTTTCTCCTGCAGAGCCTGCGTCTTCTCAGTGCAGAGGCGACAGCAGCACCGCCGTGATCATAAGGACGAGAATTGGGATTGGAAGGGGGGAAATTCTGCTCCTAGAGACAGCTCTGCCCTGATTGCTGCTGGCAGAAAATGTAGCCAGATGTCGTCAGTGCTAAACATCAAATGATTTTACATATCTGTGTTCAAAGTGTAGCACACCAGAAACTTAATTTATTGAGACATACGTACACTTAACCATAAAGGCACTGAAGATGTTTTCTTTCAGGCTGTTGGTTAAAACACATAGATTTCCTCTGTTCCATGCTAGAACTGGTGTTTTAAACATCAAGTGAACAAGAAACTCAAACCAAGACTGTGGACAAATAAATGAAGAAAAAAGGAGAGTTTTAAAGAAACCTGCTTGGAGTTTTATTCTAAATTGAAAAAAGTGTTGTGCAAATGAGAAGGTTTATGGTTTAAGAGTCACAGAACTAGTTCATCTTCCTGAGCTAAAAAAAACAGTACCAGATGAGGTATTTAAGCCTTTTTCCTTAAAACATGGCCCTTCAGAACAGAAATAAGGAACAACTAGCTATTGAAATAGCTTTAAATCCTCACTCAAATGATAAAAAAATATGTTAAATTTTACATTCCCAGTATAAAACAATGTTTCTGAAATTTTCACAAGTGACCTCTGGTTAGGGGGAGTACAAGCTGAGAAATTTTCTGGGAACGCTCCCTCCTGGTCCAAGCATGTCCAATTTACTGGCATTCCAAATTGCCAGCTGCTTCTGAAAACTGGGATCTAAGACAATTAAAAAGTGCTACAGAGGACAGCTACAGTAACTGCATTACTATTTTGACTGCATTGAATTTTAAGTAATACTAGAGAACAACAAAATGAGAGGCAAGTTTAAAGAAGCTGTTTCCTAATAGCGGTGACCCACGTGCTGCATTTCTTCTTTCACACAATACTCCTGGAGGAGGGTTATTTTTATTATGGTTTATGTCACTGTTTTATTTAAATTACATTTTCCCCCCTCCAGTAATTCATGTGCAAGTTGTCAATAGATATTAGTTTAAAAATATGAATTCTAATTCAGTCATTTAATGTGACAGGCTGAGTTTACTCTGGTATTAATTTTTGGGAGAGAAAAAAGCCATAGGCTTGAAAGTTAAAGAAAGTTTAAAAATTTTGTATAAACATGAAGTTATAATGAAATCTTGGCAATATCTGCCACCAAGTGGTCATTCAGCAATGCACAATAGATATTCTGTCCTGTTATTGTTACACATAAGCAGATTTCATAAAGTTATACACTTCTGATTCACCAGCTGTCTTTCAATATGCAGTTTGTGGCTAATGAAAAGTAGTTTATTCTGTTCAAATAATGTAGAGTGCTGAAGGGTCAAAGTTGCGATGAAGGTGTTACAGAGTGTCTGATTTTACAGGTTTCTAGTGTCCCACTAAACTCATTTCACCACATATTACCAATTTTGCTGTTTCAAATGAAAATCAAGTTGTAGTTAAGCACTGGATTAACTTCTGAAGTGAACAAATGTAACATAAATTTGAAAGTAGCAACTGGCGTGGCAGATTACCTTGCAAATATGTAATAAAATATCTAATAAATATTCTAAAATACCTAATAAAATTAAATGCATTTGTAGTTTATATGTAAACTAGTAAGTAGCAGGATCATGAATGGTATCACAGCTGCAGGAGAAGTCAGAGATCCGGAAGGGCTGGGACACCAGCCATGCAGCTGGAGCCCTAGAGCAGCTTTGGCCAGGGCCGCTTTGCCACTGCAGAGAAAGCATAGTCTTCCTCTTACTCTACTACATTATTTCAACAAATCATGCATTAGGATTAGGATTCCAGGAGCTGAAAAAGCAGGAAGATTGTTTTACTGTTTCAATGTAATAGTAAAGGTGAGGCCCAAGAGGGGATTATTAGTTCTAAAATCCTGAAAGACACAGTGATCACACAGTTGTGTAAACTCACTAGCCTCTATTTTTTTTCATAATTCAGATACATAGATGAAGTTAAAACTTTTCAGTAAACATATTTTCTAATATATATTCAACACATTTAAGGTAGATTTATTCCAGGAGGAAAAGGCATCAACCATGTGCCCTTTTTATACATATTTAATTCAATTTCCTTCCAAAATCACATTAATATGTTAGACAAATGTTATTTATGTGTCTACTTATATATTACTATATATCTTCTGTCATTATTTTTGCTTAGTCAAATAAACAGTCTGAACAGATACATAGTGTTTAAAAAAGTATATAGATATTGTGAATCTTTCTAAAGAACAAAAAGAAATTCCAAATTATTTATAAACATTACATGACTTGCTAATTAATGTATTTTGCCAGTAAGTGTAATCTTTTTTTCAGGAAAAAACATTGAAGTACAAACCTGGTCTAGTGGAAGTTATCCCTGCCCATGGAAGAGGGGCTGAATTACATGTTCTTTAAAAAGGTCCCTTCCAATACAAACCATTCTATGATTCTATGAAATGCTAAATAAAATCTAACATATTTAAGTTGTTCCCTGTGTGAAGATTCATGAAGACTTACTTGCTTTACTGTTAAGGTGAATATAAAGTCACTTGGAATTCTAGAAAAGTAGAAGACATTTAAGGAGCAAGCCCTGCAACAGCTGGGAGAACTAAGAATTTAAATTGCTGTCCTCATTGCTGGTTAAACAACTGAATCTGATTCTTCTTTCAGCTGTTTTATAACTATAAAGTTCCCAAGGTTTTTTTTCATAGCCTTTGTGTTGTTACATGATTGAAGCCCCAGTAAAGCTCTCTACTAAGATGTTTTTATCATTTTCTAACTGACATCTAGTGGGTATTTATTACATATTCCATATTCCTGCTTCTATTTATTATCAAAGTTCCTGTGGACGTTCCCATGGAAGTCCCCATCATATACTTCAGGAGGTTATAATGATTTCAGTTGCAGCAGAAATGTCTGCATGAAGGCTTTAACCTTCATTAACATCAGGCATTGTATTGTGGGCTCACTTGATGTGTGACATGTCTGTACAGCTGTATAAGCATCTAACCCTCTCCTGTGTTCCTCCCCACCAAACTGTATCCCAGCATTTCCCACATATCACTTACCAGGCTTCAAAGTGCCTCCATGTGCTTATTGGTAGGTGCTCAATTCATTAAAAGACAGAAATTACCACCATGGAGAACCTCCATGGACATACAACATGATCCCACAGGATCTGAGACACTGCAGTGATAACTCCATGCTTTAAAACAGTAAAAAATTCATTAGGTCATGTATAATTACAGACAACTGACTTTGTAGTGACAGGACCATTTACTCCTCTTCCGGATCAACCATGACTTTTATTTCACTTTTTATTTCTTGCACTACTATTCACTGAACTGGCCACATTATCAGTCTAAAGTAATATCATTCATTTCATTTTGGCAGTTGCTGTTCATTCTTACTGCAGCCTCATCATTAAACTTGAGTCTTGGTTCACCATTTTGTGATGCTTTAGTCATTCTCAAAGATGTAGATCAGTAGTGAAGCCTACCAATTGCATCCTCTGGGTTTCGTTGGGGAGGGATGCCCTTCCCTTTCAACACACATAGTAAAGAAAATGCTGCTCAAAAATGTTAGCTGATAATTTTGTGGTCCCCATTGTGAACTGAATAGCTGATTATATTCAGCCATTAGTGCAAGTGAGAGGAGAAACAAATGCCTTCTGTGTTTTGTGATGGTGGAGGTCACATGAGTTATGAGCAAGTGCTATGAAAGAAAAAGGAAAGGGGTCATGCTGTCACCTGTCTTTCCTTGGCTCCTCCCACACGCTGCCCTGACTCTCCCTTATCCACAGTGCACAAAGCTGTGCTGCACCAGTGGTACCTCCCTTCTGAAGCTGATGGCCCTCCTGTGCACCCGAGGAGCCCGCAGGGAGGTGGCTGCTCTGCTCCGGTCCCTTGGGCCTGTTGGGAGCTGGTGAGAGGCAGAGTAAAGGGAGAAAACCCGGTTCTCACTTTCCCAGTCTGAAAGGGTTTGTTTCAACTCTTGTGATGAAACTCTGCACAGGTATGAGGTCTTTACCACAGTAATGTAATACTCCCCAAATTGAGCCTAACAGTTGATGTTCTGTCATACGATATACGCATGAGGTGATTTAACCACGTTGTTCATCTATTTATTTTGTACTGTAAAATATATTTCTATTACAGCTTGGTCAAAGGAAACAATCAAGTATAAGAAGCTCAGATGAAATCCACTTAAACAGTTTAAACAATCCTCCAAGGCAATACCAGGTAAAAACCAGTTTATTTTAAAACAAAACCAAGTAGTAGAACTGGCAGACCAACAGCATGAGGACAGTTTTGATTTATGTTAAACAACATGTATCAAGAATAAATCCACAGACCTTGTGAGAAGTAAATAGAATGATTTAAGTATTTGCAGTACAATCTAGGGGTGTTTTACTCTCCCTTTTGTTTCTTAAATGCTACCTTTATAGTGCAGTATTTTAAGGTGCTTGAAAAATGGCTTTAGTTTTAGAGAGAGGTTGAGTCCTCAACTGCACAGTGTGAATTAAGAAAACCAAAAAGAAACGCAAAAACTTCCCATTCCATCTGCTGAAGGAGCTCAGTTTACTGTGCCTAACCTCTAATACATCAAGCACTGCAAATGGCTTTCAGCCTTTATACTATCAATACAGGCTAGTTTTGTTCATCTCCTAAACAACTGCAGTGAGCCTTGGTGCAGTTAAGTGTAGCTGGACTCGGCACAATGCACATAGAGCTCAGCTCTTCGGGTCCAGAGGCTGCTGTGCTCCGTCCTGTACTACTGCAAACCAGGTGGAAAGAAAGAAGCAGGAGGTGCCTGGGCAGTAGAATGGGCCCATCTGAACTTAAAAGGGTGTAGAACACAAATATACCTTTTCTAATCATACAACAGAAAGAAGTTTTTCCGCTTGGGCAGATTGGTTCTGCTCCACTTTTACATTATGCAGGTGTAATAGAAATGGTTTGCTAATTTTCATGTACAGATATGTGCAGAATCATAAAGTTTAAATATCTACTGTAGATGAGAGCTGAGGTTTTTATACTATATTTCTTGAACCTGGAAAGTGCAACACTGAAATGTCTGGATGCAACAGAAGGTAACAGAGCTCATGTTTTGAAATGCAGCAATACTAGAAAGTTCGAATAAGAAAACTCTTTTTTTTTTCTTTCTTCTCTGCAGAAAATAATGAAGCGTCTCATTAAACGATATGTACTGAAAGCTCAGATAGATAAGGAAAGTGATGAAGTCAATGAAGGTGAGTATGTTGATGAATTGTCTGTTTATCTGTAAACAGAGAATCAAAACAAACTAAAGTGGTTACATATGCCACTTGAAGATAATGTTTCTGAAATACTTAATCCACTTGACATGCATACAAGTGCAAGTTGTAAATTAACAAGAAATTGATGTTAAAGAAGAGTTGTGGCTTTCTGTCTGTGCTCTTCCATCAGAAATGATCATCTGACAATTACTTGTGAAGTGCTGCTACTTGTAGTAGTGCCCATGCATTTCCCACAGTGAGGCTGCATTTAATGCAGCAGCTGGTTTGGGGCACTTCTGTATGAATTCTCCCTTGTGTGGATGTGTGTTCTTATTGGGGATTCATATATGTGCATACACATGCTTCACGCTGGTTTTGGTCTGCTTTATTGGCTGGAAACAACTTGTTGATGCACTTCATAGAAATGTTCTCCTCTGCACTGCTCTGATGCTGGAAAGAAAGA